ATTTAAGCCAAGTTGAAATTGACAAGAGCATACTTCATCGCAAGTACAAGTTGAAATTGACAAGAGCATACTTCATCGCAAGTATTTCCTTGTCGTGGATTGGGTAGTTCCTCTCCGCAGCCATAAGCTGGCGAGATTGAAACGCGACCACCCGATCTCGCCCCTCGGTGTCTGCTTGCAACAGTGCACAGCCGATGGCAAAGTCCGAGGCGTCAAAGACTACACTTAAAGGACAATCGAGGTCTGGCAACGCCGGAATTGGTGCGTGAAGGAGAATGCTTTTGACCCCGTAAAAAGCCCCCCGATGATCGGTGTCCCAACACCATATCTTATCTTTCTTCAGGAGATTCGACAATGGCCATGCCATTTCTGCATAAGTTGCGCTATATTTGTGCAAGCAGTTGGCGAGGCCAGGCCACTTGTGCAAGTCCTTTTGGTTCTTTTGAACCGGCCAGAACAAAATGGCCTCGACCTTTGCGGGATACGCTCAGAGGTCAGGCTCCCCAATGAAGCATCTGTAAAAGAAAATTTCTTCTGCGCCGAAGATGCACTTATCGGCATTAGCATACAGCTTATTCGTGCGCATGCACTCCAGCACCGCTCTCAAATGGACGATGTGATTTTCCACATCTGTCCTCCCGTGCCTCCGCACAACTGTGACGAATATGTCGTCGAAGTATGTATGTGCATACGGCCGACGGGGCTTAAACAATTGAGTCGCAGGACGAATAAATGCTGCTGGTGCATTTGACAGTCCTTGAAGTATCACTAGATACTCCTAGAGCATCCCACTCGGAGTACTCACCGCTGTCAGCGGAATATAACTTTCTCATGAGCAATTGTTAATAACCATCGACCATGTCGAGTGCGCTGTACTTTGTACAGCCAGCCATATTGTTCTGGAAAACATTCTTTTTAGGAATTGTCGTTTGTGCCGGAATGGGGGCAGCGTTTACCTTATTATAAGCGTAAACGATACGCCACTTACCGTTCGACTTCAGCACGCAAGATGTGGGTGTCGAATGGGGAGACTTGCTCTCATGCACCATTCCTACCTCGTGCTTCGCACGGATAAAGGCGTCAATGTCGTCACACTGCTCCCTGGGCTGGGTCTTTTGGCGTGTTACACAGTATTTGGTTTCCGGAAGCAGGTCGATCTCATGACGCACACCTCGGTCCTGAGGTAGGGCCGACAGCGGGTCTTTGGAGACGACGTCATGGAATTTCTTTACCAAAGGATAATACGGATCCGAAGGAACCTACAGAATTGACGATCCAATTTGTGCGTTCAGCACCTTCTTAGTGTCCTTCACGACAGCTTCATCCAGGAGCGACGACGAGTTAATATTCGGGTTCAGTCTTAAAATGACCTCTTCGGCAAATTGCCTGCCTTCAAGGCACCGCTAAACTCTTCGAAGAGCAGCTCGTCCAGCTCGGGAGAGCATCCATCGCGGGAATAACCTCGAGGGTGACGTCGCCATTTTACTCTTTCGTCATACTGATAAGGGTATAGCTATGTGCTATCGTCTACGGTAGACACATTCTGGGTCAGGGTCGACGTCCCTGCGACTTGCAAATAACATACGGCTTTGCCATCTTCTCTCTATTGAGGTTTTACGTCTCATCGAGACCAGTGGGAACACGCACTCGGTGTCACCCAGTGTCCACACTCCCTGCTCCATCGGAGCCTTAATGTTATTAACAACATCCAACGAAGATCTGCTATTTCCGCAGTGGATAACGTGCCACTCCACGCGCATCAGTTGGGCCTTGCTCAGGATACCTCGGACCTCGTCCGACCATGCCACTCTTGGCATGCAACAACTGCGTCAAAACGTGAGCAGTGCTTAGTATATTTCGTGCCACTACACGTGCATCACAAGGTCCTAGCCCTTGATGTCTCGGCCCTCGGTCGACCATACCACTCTTGGCATGTAGCTACTGCTTTGTTCCTTAAGCAGCGCTCAGTAGGTTATGTGCCACTCCACGTTCAGTTGGCGAGCCATGCTCGGAATTTAGTCCGATACACCTTCGATTTTCGACAACTCGGATACTCGAATAACTAGCACATTGACCGTCCCATCCCAGTGCCCGCGCCAATGGATTTTCTGCTTCTTAGCAAAGGTAAGTGCATGGCTCACCAAAGCTTCATCAGGAGACGTGCGCGTATCGCCCAAGGTCTTCGACCTCCAGTCGATCCATGGTTCATGGTGTTCCAACCATACCTTACCAAGGATATCGTCATACCTTGTATCCAAGTCATAATCTAGACAGCGTTGCACGCTATCAAAATTAAGGAACTTGACCCCGAGATCCACAGAAACCGTCGGCACAGTGACACATGTCCCCGTCGTTAAGCAAACAGTGACGGTGTCACTCAACCGCGCTTCCAACACCTCAGCATACAGCTGACCGAGGAGCGTCGAGCATAAGTGCCCGACGCCCTGGAATCGATAAGGATTTTTCATGGCTTCTTAAAGTTTTTCACGGTCGCTTTCACGACCAGCATGCCCAGCTTGCATACGCGTTTCGTGTTCAAGAGCAAGCAGCTTTTCGGGAATGGGCCCTGTTATCCTCTACCTCTTTGAGGCTCGAAAGAACTCAGTTTTCTCACAGTAGAACGCCACGCGTCAACTGGGTTCTCTCGTTTCCCCGCGTGAAACCAGATTGGGTAGAAGCGGGACGTCAGTTCGACGAATCATTACGTGCCTTGCGCAAGGGACAACCCGTCCGAAGGTGATGGGTGTATCCACAGACAAAACACCGTCGGGTGTGTCGACACGCTGCTCAGCAGCTCGGTGATCTCCCTCCTCCTTCTCAGCACTGCTGAGATCCATTGGCTCCGACCTGCTCGACAAGATGCTCGAGTGTGCATTCCAACCAAGTCGTGCCGACTTAAAGTTGACTTCGGCATCAAATGCCACATTCAACGCTTCTTAAAAAGAAGACGGATGCACACGGAGGACTTCCATTATGGCCACGTCATGAGGAGGCCCTCCATACAGAAAGTTACTGCGACCGCCTTGGGGAGAGGATCTGTTACCATTCCGGCAATCATTTTTTTTTACTCTTAGACGAAGTCCACTAACTCCTTCTTGCTCTGTCGGCCAGCAAGGTAACGCTATCTCACGCGATATGCCTGATTAGGCGGCGAAAATACTCGCGGAAGCTGACGCTTCTGCTCCTTTCAGGAGGGGGGCGCTGCTTCAACCGAAGAACCGCACGCTAGTGCCCATTCTTGCGCTCGGTCGCCGAGCTTGAATATAGCTAGCGCCATGCGTTGTTGCTCGTTTGGAGCACGGCGGATGTCATAGTCATCTCGGACTCTCTTATCCAAAGCAGGGGATTTTCTCCATCCTTACCCTCGAAGGTCTCAACGCTTACCATGATCGGAAGGAATCATCCGTCGTCGACGATGGCGTCACAGACGTTGTCGACGCTGACAGCTTGTGTTGAAAGTGATCTCACAGAGCATTTTCATACCTGGAAAAACGCCTTTAGGCGCGCGCTTATGGCCTCGAGCCGTTGTGCAACGTGGTGCTTGACGCCCTCAGGGCCCAGCAGGGACACCGGCTTATTTAGCCCGTCCTGCATGCCGTCGGTCAAATAGGAGTATTTCGACATCCTCACAGAAGATCAGTCGTAACGACTCAGGCGTAGACTGACCAACAAGTGTCATAAGTGCAGCGGGACTGTCGTACCTCTTTGCTTAGAGGAAGCTAAACTATGGCCGCCGACTTTACGTTCTTTCCAAGAACCAGTACAAGTGTAGCGGGTCGCGATCTACTGCCTCCAAGAGTACTTAGTACCTTAGCCAAAGCAAACGAAAACTTCTGATCAGAATCGAAACTGTATTTAATTGTTTTACTTGCGGCAGAGCCGCTAATATCGAAAACCCAAGGTTTCCTTATTAATATAGTTATACGTAATTAATATAGCAAAACCTAATTAATATAGTAATATGCATTACTACTGGCAATTCTGCGCTGTGTAGCCACACCACTGTGATAATTACATTAATTGTGTAATACACACCTATGTACGGTCGCACAATCCGCCCACGTGCAACCCCGTTACACAGTGTGAGACAAAAGCAATAAAACTACTTTAACATGTAGTGTCTGCGGTCTATACAACGAGATTGCGATATCGGTACATGGAACCGCTCGCAGTCGACCAAGAAGAATAATAAATATCCCGATGGGAAGTCAAAAGCATCCCGTATCTCATGACTTACTGAAGCCATATCACGATCCGATTTTGCTAGTCAGTCAAATGTGGGCGCTCTGTAGTCGGTGGTGCAGCGTTTCTACCACTCCGTGTAGCAATGCCACCCTCTATTCTAGGGCAGCGACACAGTTGTGATCCACAAGAGGTGCCTCGAGCCACAGTAAGACGACGAAGCTTAGGAAGCTTGTTTAAATTCTGAATTATCCCAGCTGGACGCACACTGGAAGGTAAAAGAGAGTCTACGTGTCGGCGCACGCATAATAGAGAGAGCTCACGGGGTCCACCTGCTAGAGGGTTGCCTTCGGCCGCACCACTCATTGGGGTAGAAGTGGTTTACTTTCAGCTGAGCGATTCGTGGACCGGTGACTCTGCCATTGCTGTAACGTGGTGAAGTGGAAGAGATCGCCTTAGTGCTAATGATCATGTATGTTGAAACTCTAATTTGATGAGAAATACCAGGCGCAATTGCCGCTTACGATCTTGCATACCCCATCTTTATTTTCCTTGGACGGGAGGAAGGGTCGCCTGTCGCAGCGAGTTCCCAAGGACCAATCCAGTCGTAAGCTTAACAGCTGTAACAGCAGTCACATGGAGACAAGCGGGGTGGTAAACGGAAAGAGCTGAAAGTGACTCGGCGTCCGCGTCGTGCAATGTACTTCGCAAGACCAAGTAAAAGTCGACTTAAAGTCGGGTATTTGCTTCACTGGAGCTGCCTCACAAACTCTTCAAATGTATGAGACGGCGCGTCTTCCTCACCCAGTGCGCAAACTGGGTTTGGTCTCCATCGGCACTCTCGCCAGCATATAGTACTCAAAGGTACATTTTACATGGAGGGTAAGGGGTTTCCCTGCCTCTGTTGCTCTACACGCATGCCGTAATCCTGAGCAATGATGACTTTTGTGGTCCGAAAGTGCTCGCGAAGCGTCTTCTTGGGGCTCAGTTGACTAGCATGCATATGATTTTAATACGCCTCAGCGCGGCGAGTAATCTCTGACCAGACAATGCCTAAAACCAAATCTACAACGTGTAATTTAGCAATGATCAGCGCGACTCTTGCGCTCGCAGATGAGCAAGCCGGTCCAGACGATCTAGATATCAAGTGGATTTTAGGGTTGCGTGAAACGTCATTAATAAATGTAATAAGTTTGTAACCGCAAAGTGCGTCTTTTTTTGGGTAAGTAGCTATGCATGGTATATTCGGATGAATGCAAAGGCTTTGGTTCGAACTCGAAGAATCGATGGAGTCCTTTTCGTCAGAGACCCTCACCAAGAATTACTTTAAGAGCGTCAGTCCCGAGATCCGCGCTTTCTCTAAACGTATTTGATGAAGTACACAAGATGGACCCCCAAAGCTTAAATGCCCTTGAAGGGCATTCTCGGTGAGATTCAAAAAGTGAAATTAGATGTTGATTACTGAGATCTCCCTTCTGCAAAATGCCGTGGAAAGACATAAGAGGTGTAAACTCAGTCTCATCCACATTTCAGTGGAGAAGGATGTAAAAGGAATAAATACTGTGCTCTTTGTGTACTTACACCGTACAAAAGTCAACCAACTGCACGATGCACCTTTGTCTACTTGTAATGAATTGTAGATACAGAAGTATTCCTTTAAAAGTGAAAAGTCCCGGTCAACTTTTTTAGATTATTACTAGCGTTGTTCCTCTATAACTGGCGCTGTTCTGATCCTCTCAGTTGCGTAAAGCGGCTTTGCTTCAAGTCACAGCGTTGACCTGCTTGTTGCGTTTGGCGCAAAATTAGTTGGCGTAATTAGCAGACGTAGTGGACTGCGATAAAATCCACTAGCTCTGCAATTTGCTCCAAGCAGTATGACTTAATCATCTTAGCAAAAGTTGCGAGTCAACATGGAGGAATAAACGGCAGGCCTTATGGCGTGTGATGCAACACTGCGATGATGGGACATAGAGTGGAGGAGGTCGATATACACGCACACCAAGTAGTTTATCATGAGTTATGTTCTAGTATAGAATTTATTCGAAATAAATGTCACTTTCTTTTGAATAAATTCTTGAATTAGGAGAGCAAACTAGACTTAAGGCTCTCGTTTATCGAGGTACATACACAACCTGTGGGCATTTGTCCGCGCAGACTCTTTATATCAAAGCTCCTTCCATGTTAAGTACACAGAAACCCTATTGCAGAACCATGGTATGACAAAGGCAGCTTGGGTGCGCAAGTAAATGTCTGCTATCGATACGAATAAATTAATGTACTTCTGAAAGTAGTCCCATCCTCAAAATATCGAGTAATATGACGTGACTTCCGAATTAACTTAATCTTCAAATCGTTATCCTTCTACTAATTATTGCGTCTTCATTGGGGTGGGGAGCAGCAGAATTTGAAGTTTACTTTGTATTTCCAATTTCCCAACATCTACATAATTCTGCTGTATTGAAGCAATGGAATATACATCACGCATTCGATTTCGAGATGAGGATATTGCATTTGCAATCAACCTGACAGGAATATATGCCAAGACTTCGGGTCTGTATCATACACAAATTTCTTTTGCAACACGATGATTGAAGTATATACAGCAGACCCGGTGGCGTGGGTCGAATGGTCAATGCTTCTGGACCTTACGCTGTGTGGCG